CTTTTTTTTCCCCCAAAAAAAAACGTACATTGTAGTAGGACATTTTAGTGCGTGTTCAAATCAAATTCAATATGGTCAATGCAACTGAACTTGATTTGCATTTACTGTCATTTCCCTATATTTCTTATGGCCATTTCCCTACATTTTCTCAAGTTTGACACTTTTCATGATAAGCAACTCAAATAAAATATTGCTATAAGAAAACTTCGTGAGTCCGTAGCACAATATTACAAAACAACACTAAACATCCAATAAATAGTAATGTATCATGATTTTGTGTCTTTTCATCAATTGTTTATCGTTCTTTCAGTCTTACCCTTAACTAACAGACTATAACCGGCTCTATCCAAGCATCTTCCCTTCTTTTCTTTTCTTTTTTCTTTTTTTTTTTAATTTATACTAAAATACTTGTCTTAGGCAGTGTAGGACAGTTTTGAAAAAAGTAACAACCCTACATTTTCATATGCCTCAATTTCCTGGAAATTCCACACACAAAAAATTAAAAAAAAAAACCTCGCAATCACATTAATTTGAGGTCTAATTTGTAAAGATAAAGTACAATTAAAAGGAACGGTCGAGTACCTAAAGTACCAGCTGGCCATTTTAAAGCAAAAGACCAAGCAAGGAGACAAAATAAAGGATGACATCTGCCAACCACAAAATGCTTCGATTTCCATGGTTGTTTGATGACAAAAGAAAAAGAATTGGGTCACGCCTGTCTGATACTGTTAAGTTTTTCAAAAGCATCTCGTTTAATCGTGGTGGAGGAAGGACGGGCTGCGAGTTTCTGGATGTAATGGTCTTACTTTTTTTGGAAGAGGATAAATTTCTTGCACGTAACTATTATCAAAGAGCTCATCTAGCCTAATATTTCTTCATTTGAAAATAAGAAAACATCTTGCTTTCTTTGTCACTTAACCTGTTAGTCCAAGTTTATTCCTTTCATTAGGCCATTTAAAGGGAGGGATTCCTATTTTTTTTTTTTTAATGAGAATTAGTTGTGGGACTCACTCTACATTGAACTTCAACAATCCGAACCATCAATTTTGTAAGTCTCGATTCGTAGATCATCCTTGTAAAATTTCAATTCAATCCGAAATCATTTGATTATTTAATTATCACATGAAACTTCATTGTTTCTTATTAAACAAAGTGTTCGTCAATTTCTTTGAACTCAACTAGATATCTCAAATACTACCGATTTGGTTAATATGTTGTAAGGATGATCTAAAAGGTGCAACTTGAAAAATAAACGTTTCTGATCGTAAAAGTTAGATGTGTTGTGGCCCCACAATTAATCCTCATTTAAAAAAAAATGATTATTTCTTCCCTTAAAAATGTCCTTCATTTTATTATAAATGAAATGTTTTAAATTTTAATTTTTTTTTATATAAAAGACGAATTCGATATTAAATTACTATAAATTTTAATTTTTTGAAGTAAATCAATATTTTTACATTAGAAAAAAAAAATTCGATTAAGTCACATAACACGCAGCCTAATTTTGATTTAACTCTACCGTTTAAGTTACTAGGAACTTTGTCGTGTGGCATTTTAATTTCTAGGACCCCATAAATAGGAAAAAGGAATATGAAACTATGGATTGTGCAAATTGTGGCGCCGTTAACCAGATGGTTTTGTATCGTGTTAAAGTGTGCATCTGGCATGTGGTATGAAGTGTCAGGATTTTGTGGCTGCTCTGATTTGATTTGCAACTTGGATCATGGTTTTCTTTATTAAATAACACATGCCATGTTTCAATCTAAAAAAATTAAAAATAGGCTTCTAACTCACCAAGGTTTGGCTAACTGATGTCAGCCTCCCTATGTACGTCCCCACTACTTGACTAATATTGTTTGCGGTTTTTACCTTTCACGCATTCTTATTATTTTTTTGTTATTGATTTTTTTTTCATTCATACGATTCAATCAAAAAAGTAAGAGAGATGTATAAAAGGTAAAAATGAGTGCAGATAGCACCATACTTCTCAAATTTCTCTAGATCGATAAATTTGTGACAGTATTCCACGATGAAATAGTAATTAATTGTGAGAAGGAAAAAACAGCAAGGCCTTCCATTCTATAGTAGATTGGAAAACTGAGTATGAGTCCAATAATATAGAAATTAAACTTCTACGATTATAAGTGAGAGGTCTTTGGTTCAATTTTCGTCAAATGTGAGTTTGAACCATATTATTGCTAGCTCATTGAGAGGCTAAACCCACTCATATCCCTTTAGTGTAGATAATATCGTTTGTTCATTAAAAAAAAAAAAAAAAAAAATACCTTCTACAATAGGATGGAAAATTTGAATGCTCTGAAAGTGATTTTTATTTTTTACTTCAATATATTGAACTTATGAGTGTAATACCTAATAACTAAATAAAAAGGAGAAAATAGGTAACAAATTATAAAAAAGAGAACAAAAAATGGATGGATCCAACATTTAATATATAAAACTCATGTATCAAACTCACACCATTATGATAATAGTGTAATACAAATTAAACATCTTGTGCTTGACTCCACCTTAGCACAATATTGTCCGCTTTGGATCCCGACCACGTCCTCATGGTTTTGTTTATGGGAATTCACACGAGAACTTCCCAGTGGACCATCCATCCTGGGAATGCTCTCGCACAAACTCGTTTAACTTCGGAGTTCCGATGGAACCCGAAGTTAGTGAGCTCCCAAAAGGCCTCGTGCTAGGTAGAGATGAGAGTATACATATAAGGCATAGAGGATCCACTCCCTTAGGCGATGTGGGATGTTACAATATTATCTAACTAAAGAGGTGAGAGAGTGGGCTAAACTTTACAATGGGGTTGCCATAATAATGTGGTTCAACTTCGCCTTTGACGACAATCGAACCTAAGATCTCTTACTTATAAGTGAAGAGGAATACCACTAAATTGTAGTACTAAGTGACTAATACAAATTCAAATTATAATGCATGATTCTTACATATAAATATCACACTCACCAAAACACCGCTAATTATCTAATTAATTAAATATGAGAAATAGGCTGAGAAAGTAGGATAAAATCATAAAAGCTATGATATTGTCCGGTTAGCTCGAGGAATATAGAGTGATAGGAACTTGCATTACAGTAATAGAATCATATACTGTGAAAGGAACTTACCTTGTTAGTCCAAGATAAAAATTAAGGAATAATTCAACTTGTCCAATTGTCTTTGTTCTTTTTATAAGGGATATGATACTTACGAAGATATATTCACAACCAGTCGTTAATTAACTCACAACAAGCCCTAATATGCTACAATATGGTATCAAACTCACGTTCTCATATCATTTTGTGTCGAACATGATACCTACTTCAATTAAGCAACGACCAATTATCATTTTACTTTGGTCGTTAATTCATTCATAACAAGCGACAAATGTGACTCATTACCGAACTCATTATACATACATAGAATCATCATGTTAACTTAAGATGAACTTTGAGACATTCTCCAATTAAGTAAAGACCAATATCGCTAAATTTGTTGGTAATGTACAAAAAAGGGTTCTAAGTTGATAAATTTGGTTCTTGACACGCTTTAGGGAGAGACTTTGGCCATTCCAAATTTTGATTTCAAATTTCAAAGGGGCCAAAATAATGGCTAACTTCAAATATTCCAAATGCCTTTGCCTTGACTTTTATGTGTGATCATAATGTTTGAGATTTAATAATAGATAGGAAGAATTTTCAGGGTTTACCACAAATCACGTAGCGTGGGCGTTGCTTCAGGTTTTTTCTTGGCCTTTTCTTCCTCCTTGCCTTGCTTCTTCCTTCTCTTTTACTTCCCCAGTTCCCTCCCAACTATGTAAATTAAAGGACTTCTATCATAAATGATTTTTGAAATTGACCCGTCAATTGAAATGATTTTTGAATTGGAAATTGGTGGATATCGTCATTGAAAATGGGTAGCGCAAATCAACATAGTCATCCCGTCATAATTTCATTAAAAATTATGTAATGTATGCTGATATGACACATGAATGAATTCTACAAATCTAATTAAATATTAACATGTAGATTAAATAAACTTACGATTTATTTACTAAAATTTTTCAATGATGTGATGTAAAAGTACTCAATCTGCAAACAATCTAATAGTAAATAGGTAAGTAATTTATGCAAAAATATGACAAATTTGGGATGGGAAAAAGGAGTATTGAGAAGATTTATTTACAGGTCCATAATTAAAAAATAAATATACGTAATATTTAAAAGAAAAAGAAAATAAAATATTACTATACTTTTGACTCGAGTATGTCGACCAATTGGGAACCGTCCAATATACAGTTCGCAGTGTACGTCTTCAACATGCGTGTGGAACAAGTGGTTTTTCTTTACGAGTCGATCACAGTTTTGCATGTGCGTAGATTTTTCTCATTTTGTACTTTCAGTTGATAATTTTGCATACATTTAAAATGATGATTTTGATTATTTTGAAACGGCTCGTTGCAGTAAAATAATATTCATATTTACAATAGTTTTTTCCGTCTGAAACTTTTTTTCATTAATGAAGGCATGAAGAAACAAAATCGTTTCAATACCGTTATAATACGCACTATACAGACAATGAATCGTATAGAAATCCTTACCACATCCACATCCACATCCACTACTTGTTTTAATTAAATTAAAACGTTGTGATTTTATTTGTTCATGCTATAGAGGAAGTACAAATAGAAGACTCTTTTTACATGTGTTCATTGAAAGTCCAATATTTCTCTGTGGGGCTGTGCTATTTACACACCTTATTTTACTTCTTATACTTCGACGTTCGAAAATTAAAAAGATATATAAAAAATAAAATAAAATATTTAGATATCACATCCCTTCTGTATGAAGTCCGGACGGTCTCTGTTTTCCCTACCTTTGTCCCTCCCAATTTCATCTGTGAAATCTCTGAGAGACCCTTCTCTCTCTCTCTCTCCTCTCTCTCCTCCCAATATTCCACCATAAAACCCCTCCCCTTTCCACCGCGTCTCTCAATCTCTCTCTCTCTCTCCAAAAAAGCACCAAAACCCTTCAAAGATTCCCTTAAAACACAATCCAACACTACAATCTAAGTAGGCTCTAAAACTTCACCACGCAAATGTCCCGCCACAACTCGTCCTCCGCTTTTCCTTCTTGCTTCCGCCCCTCCACCTCGACGAACCGCCGCCTCCCACCACCGTCTCCGTCGCCTTCTCCGCCGCCCAGCTCCGGGCACCCCAACCTCACCACCTGTCTCTACCACACCGACCTCGCCCTCTTCTCCCTCACCTGGTCCCGCTCCTTCCTCGGCCGCTCCCTCCACCTCAACCTCCTCCGCCACTCCTTCGATTCCCCCCTCCCTCCGTCGCTATCCTCCCCTTCTTTCCACCTCAACATCAAGCCATTCCTCTTCTGGAAGAGGCACGGCTCCAAGAAGCTCTCCCCCAACATTCTCCTCTACTGGGACCTCTCCAAAGCCCGGTTCGGCTCCGGACCCGAACCCCAATCCGGGTTCTACATCGCCGTCGTCGTCGACAACGAGATGACCCTCCTCGTCGGCGATTTGACCCGCGAAGCCTATGCCAAGACCCGGGCCAACAAATCAGAGACCTCTCAAATCCCAATCTTGAAACGAGAGCACGTCGTTGCCAAGAAAATCTACACCACGAAAGCCCGGTTCGGAGGAAAATTGCGGGAGATCCAAATCGATTGCGGGTCGAGCGCCGACCCGACCCGGCTTTGCTTCAGCATCGACGGCCAAATTGTCCTGCAGATAAAGCGGTTGAAGTGGAAATTCAGAGGGAACGAGCGAATCGAAGTCGACGGGACTCCGCTGCAGATCTCGTGGGACGTCTACAACTGGCTTTTCGAGAGCGACGGCGACGACGGCCACGCGGTGTTCATGTTCAGATTCGAAGAAGATGAGGAGATTAAAGAGAACAATTACCAATCGGGTCATCTGAATTCGTGGAATTTCGGGATGAGCGGGATTGAGTGGCGAAAGATGGGGAAGAGCTTCTCATCTTCGTCGGTATCGATGTCGTCGGCGGGTTCTTCCGGCGGAAGCTCGTCGGTGATGGAGTGGGCGAGTACGGAGGAGAGCGAGCTGAACGGCGGTCCTGCTGGTTTTTCTCTGCAGATTTATGCTTGGAAAAGGTGAAGTCCAATCCAGTCCAGTCCAATCCAATCCAGTCCAATTCAATTCAATTCATGAAACTAGTACTATAGTGTGTTTGAGATGTTAAATCTTGGTGGGATTGGATTATATAATGGTATTACTGATTAGCTAGTAATCTCCTACTAACCCATTTGTTTGTTGAACATAAATTGAATAAATTCCGATTTAATTGAAGCATATATACAAAATTCGTAGATAATTAGAGGTAGCTAGTTACTAGGCAAGTAAAAGAGAAAACCCAGCTGGTTTTTTGTTGTTGATTTTTTGTATTGGGAGAATTGGTGTAATTTTCGTATTGTTTGTGTAATGAAGTTTGTGAAAGATGAAGAAAAACATAAGCATTTGCTCGCCCATCATGCTACTAGCTCAAACAGTTAAGGGCGTTTATTTGATTAATACAGTTAAGAGCGTTTATTCGAGCTTCATTTGTTGGAAGGAAATTCCCACTCAATGTTTGGGACTTTTGATTGTTTTAGTGGTTTGGACGTTATTTTTCAATTCACTACATCTCGATTAATAGTTTAAGTAGTTAAAAGAGTTTATCTGTAGTTAACAGCGTTTAACCGAGGTTTATTCATTGGAAGGAAATTTCTACTTATTATTTTATGCGAAGTGGTTGATTGTTTTATTGGTTTGTACATTGCTTTCAGCGCAGAATTAAGAACAAAAAGCCTTAAGCTTTAAGATTCTGACATCTGGTGGTGGAGAAATTTTTACTTGTGACGGAAACACGGGTGGTACATCATGTGTTTTTATGTAAGTGGTGAAAATTTGTATTTTTTAAGTTATTAACTTTTTAATACATATATCCCACCATTTATATAGTGATACGTAATGTATCATCTCGTGTAACGTTCACATTAAAAAATCTCTCCTGGTCATGAGCTGTGAGATTTTGTTTGCAACTATGGTAGAGTAGTTCAGATGAAATTTTCCAAAGTTTGCGACACTGGACAAGTTGCTTGTAATTTATTTATTTATATTTCTACTATTTAGTCTATTTTCTTGGTGTTTTTTGTTTTAACAAACAACATTATTACCCTAAAGTTTGTGGAGTGAATTATGCGTTATAATTTTAATTTCGCTTTTGACGAAAATTGAACTTAAAAATAAGAGGAATGCCACTAGCTAATAGGATCCTCTTTGTGAGGATCATGAGAATCTGTAAATTGTGTCTATACATTGTACATCGTGCAGTCAGTTTTTGTCTGGTACTATTTGTGTTTAATTTTAAATAAAATAATTTCTGACCGTACAATTTACGATGAACGGACACGATTTATAGATTCGAAATCCTCACAAAGAGGACTGGATTCTGCGACTAGGTACTAAGTGGTTTTTTTTTTTTTTTTTTGTGCTGTAAATTAAATAAAAGCAATATCTTGGTCATTTAGGCGCACTTTGGACCGTGAAATTTGCTGACCGTCTCCTTGGTCGATAAACAAACGGTGCATTCACAACTCTTTTTATAGGATTATGATATACATTTTTATTATTTTAATTTTTTCAATTCATCTTATCTGATGATTAAAAAATAAAAATAGTATATAAAAATTAAATATGAGTGAGAATAACACCGTCTAATAAACTGAGATCGGACCGTAGATTGGAGTCACGAAAATTGATAAAGTAAAAGGACAATATTGGGCGACCAGACCTGACCCAGAAAGCAATAGGTGTGAACCGGTCAAATGAAATGAACGAGTATTGGGACAGAAAAAGGTCGTCTGATTGTTCAGAAGCTTTTCATTGGTGATAAGGTTGACTGCGGCCGGAAGAGACTCTGCTTTTCCAGTTTCCACTGTACTCCCGCCTTGCATTTAAGTTAAAGAAGGGTTGAATAATCAAATGAAAATTAAGCTACATGGACAAATAAAGGTGTACGAAATGAGAAAATATATGTATGAAAATGATTTATGTACCATTCAAAAGCATTGGGTTGATTCAGTGTTGTGAATGAATTCTAGATCTGTATTTCATACGATTCATTTTCAGTTTGATTTTTATCGTTAGTGAATCACACGATGGTAGCCAGAGTAAGGATGAAGTAACTCTGTGAATCTTTTTGACCCCCAAATAAGTAGATTGCCGGCGAAGCTACTCTCTAATCCTTTATATAAATATATATAACATTCAAAAGCCTAAGTTATATTCGTTACAAATAAAATTTGAGCATTATTGTCTGATCACATTATGGATGAAATATTTTTCACTTAAACCCATTATGTCCTACCTAATGCGAAAATTGCTCCAATCAAACAGCCCTACATTTACTCACACTCGACATTAATCCGAACGTTGAATTCGTCGAATGGGTAGTTTCATTGACAAATAAAACTCTTCATAGAGGTTTCCTTTCTGTACTGGGTGTTGAAGCATCAGCTGCTGAAGTTGTCAAATTGGTGCAATAAGCCTTGTGATGTTATCCAATACGCACGTGTTTGTATGCAATCTTTTCTGCTAATGTGAAAATCCCCCACAGCCTACCATAGAAAACAGGACTCAATCCACCTTATTTACTGCCCAAAGAGGTTCGCTTTCAGTCGGTATCCTGCATGCATTGCCTTCTTTGATTTTTCTTTCAGTTAACTTTTGACAAGTTTGTTTAGGACACGATACTTTGATTAGTAAGAGAAGCGTTAGAATCTGTCACTAGCATGTCTACGCTAGTTCTAGAATTCATGCATGTAGAAGTCAAAAGGAAAGAAGCTTGTGCAGGTCACAAACCATGAACGTCTAAGATCAACTCGAATGCATTCACCGAATTCTAGCATTTGCCTTTCTCATCAGCATTTCACTTTAATACAATGTACCTTGTTGTCGATGTCGATGAAAATTCTACAATGTACCGATGCATTAGAGTACCAATGCAGTGAAAAGATTGGATTTGCATGAATCACTGTCATTCTAACTGTCAAAAACATCAGTGAGTTCTGCACATCATATATTGTAGAAAGAGAAGTGAGAGGAATGCCACTAGCCAACAGGATCCTCTTCTGATGCTCTTTGTGAGGATCCTGAGGATTTGTAAATCGTGTCCGTTCATCATACATCGTGCGGTCAATTTTTGTCAGGTACTATTTTTGTGTTTAATTTTAAATAATTTCTAACCGTACGATGTACGATGAACGGATACGATTTATAGATTCCGAAATTCTCACAAAGAGGATCGAATTCTACCACTAGGTACTAATTGGTTTTTTTTTTTTTTTTTTTTTGCGTTGTAAATTAAATAAAAGCAATATCTTGGTCATTTAGGCGCAATTTGAACTATGAAATTTGCTGACCGTCTCTTTGGTCGATAAATAAACAGTGCATTCACACAAATCTTTTTTTGTGATACGCTTTTTTTTTTTTTTTTTTTTACTTTAATTTTTTTTTCAATTCATTTCATTTCACAATTAAAAAAATAAAAATAGCATATAAAAAATAAATATGAGTGAGAATAACACCGTCTAATAAACTGAGATCGGACGGTAGATTGGAGTCACGAAAATTGATAAAGTAAAAGGACAACATTGGCGACCAGACCTGACCCAGAAAGCAATAGGTGCCAACCGGGCAAATGAAATGAATGAGTACTGGGACAGAAAAGGTCGTCTGATTCTTCGGAAGCTTTTCATGGCATAACTGGCATTGGTGGTAAGGTTGACTGCTGCCGGAAGAGACTCTGCTTTTCCAGTTTCCACTGTACTCCCGCCTTGCATTTAAGTTGGAGGAGGGTTGAATAATCAAAGGAAAATTAAGCCACAAGGACAAATAAAGGTGTACGAAATGAGAAAATATATGTATAAAAATTATTTACGTAACATTCAAAAGCCATTCACCATGGGATGATGCGTTGGTCTGTATTTCATACGACTCTTCTTCTATTTGATTTATATCGTTAGTGAATCACATAATGGTAGTTAAGACAATAGTGAAGTGACTATGTGAGTCTTTCTGACTCCCAAATACATAGGCTGTCGGCAAAACGACTATCTAATCCTTATATATATATATATATATAAAGTAACATTCAAAAGCCTAAGTTATATTCGTTACGAATAAAATTTGAGCATTATTGTCTAATCACATTATGGATGGAGTATTTTTCACTTAAACTCATTATGTCCTACCTCATGCGAAAATTGCTCTAATTAAACAGCCCTACATTTACTCACACACGATGTTAATGCGAACGTTGAATTCGATTAATGGGTAGGTTCATTGACAAATAAAACTCTTCATATAGGTTTCCCTTCTGTACTGGGTGTTGAAGCATCAGCTGCTGAAGTTGTCAAATTGGTGCAATAAGCCTTGTGATGTTATCCAATATGCACGCGTTTGTATGCAGTCTTTTCTGCTAATATGAAAATCCCCCACAGCCTACCAGCCTACCATGGAAAACAAGACTAAATCCACCTTAATTACTGCTCAAAGAGGTTCGCTTTCAGTCGGTATCATGCATGCATGCATTGCCTTCTTTGATTTTTCTTTCAGTTAACTTTTGACAGGTTTGTTTAGGGTACAATACCTTGATTAGTAAGAGAAACGTTAGGATCCGTCGCTAACATGTCTACGCTGGTTTTAGAATTCATGCATGTAGAACTCAAAAGGAAAGATGCTTGCGCAAGTCACAAACCATGAATGTCTAAGATCAACTTGAATGCATTCACTGGATTCTAGCATTTGCCCTTCTCATCATCATTTCACTTCAATACAATGTACCCTGTTATCGATGTCGATGAAAATTCTACAATGTACCGATGTGTGAGAGTACCAGTGTAGTGAAATGATTGGATTTGCATGAATCATTGTCATTCTTGTGGATGCAAATTTCTGTCGTCTTCTCCTTTGATGAAAATGCACCTGCAAAATAATAACACCTAAGATTAAGGCCAAAAGCCTTACACACCCATGATGATTTGGGGGGGGGGGTGCTTTAGCCGAAGAATCTCCGATGTCAAAATTAGAATTTGAGAAAGAAAGTGTTTAGGAGTTTTTGGGAAGAGAATGACCTTGCATTTTAGCGGGAAAACATGACTATTTATAGGGGAGTGACTGACCCTGTTTGGAAAATAGGGCCCGGCCACATATGGTCAAATTGTGAGTGTAATTGCAAGATATTATGTGAAATAATATCTTGCAATTAACTTGGCAATTAATCCCAAATTGAATAGGAACATTGGGAATTACCTTTTGAGTGAGGATTTGATGAGGAGTCATGAGAGGGTTTTGAATAAATATCATTTTGATCACCTTTGACTCTTCCTTAATTAAGCTGTTATTGTCCGTGGTATGCGCGTGGGAATCCCGATGTGTCTCGAGGGTAATTTTGTCATTTTGCCCAAAAATACATGTGTCGCCTTCATAATTTTCTTGATTAATTTTTACTTTACAATTCTAACCGTCAAAAACATCGATGAATTCTGCACACCATGTATTGTAGAAAGGGAAGTGATTTACACACACCCTTTTTAGCGTTTCATGCACTTTTTTTTTTATAGCCATCAGTTTGAATAAACCAAACGAAATCAACAACCATGATTAAACAGAAGTGTGTAAGAAGCTTAATCGACGGCCACGATTCTCTTCGCTCTAAATCACCCTCTCCTTTTCTCCCATTCTATTTAAACGGTTACAATTAAGTCATGTCAACATCTTGTTTTAACTTTTTCTATAGAGAGAGAAAAACAAAGGAGGAAAATTTGAAAGAAGGGGAACGAGTGGGAGGGAATTAGGAGAGGAAAGAATCCTACTCCGTGGAACCCTTGTGAAAAATCTCTGGTGTTGATTCAAGGTGGGGTTGAATTGAAGGTGCAGAGTTGTCCAGATGCTTCTTGTAAAAAGAGGGCATCTCTCTCTGTCGAATCTAATAAAAAGGCACAACAGAGAGAGAGAGAGAGAGAGAGAGAGAGAGAGAGAGAGAGAGAGAGAGAGAGAAGGACGCAGGAGAGAGAAGTAGGGTTTCACAGTTCACATGCAGATTGTTTGTCTTGTCTTGCTGTGGACGGGAATGGGATTTGTCGAGTTCTCTCGATACTATGTATCTTTACTTGACATTCACAAAACAGTGAACTGCTTTCAAGTAAAATTAATGGCATTCGTTTCTCCCTGTAAAAAAAAAAAAAAAAACGAATGTAATCACCAAATGATTCACATTGCTTACAGCACAAGTTATAAAAATAAGTCAATGCTTTACTTGTAATTTGCAAGCCAAGTTTCCAAGTGCTTTTAAATATGGTGGTTTGCAAGTTTCGTAGAACTAGGGATTTGCGGGTTCATGAACTTTGAGCAATTTTCGTCATCATAGCCGGGAAACTTGACAATAAGTTGTGGTTGCTGGTTTTAGATATTTTCATTTTACTTGCTCGATTCACAAAAATGAAATAGAGTTATGAGGGGCTTATTTGTGAAACAACCCGTACGAAATTCAGATGTAAACTTATATGTAGGCACTTTATTTTTCTCTAAAGACATATTTTAATCTACTATACTTTACGAGGAAGATCAGAGATTCGACATAAGTATAAAAGGGGGCCACGGTTCTCTGGCCTAACCGAGGTCTACTTTAGCAATCAGTTTGCTATTTTGGTGAGTCTTTAAAAAATAATTTTAATTAATGAGACCAACCAAACCACTTAGTATTATGATTTAGAAGTATTCAACTTTACTTGTAAGTAAGAGTTATTAGATTCGATTCCCACTAAAATCAACAAAATTATTATGGTTGATCCATTATAGGACTTAACCCACTCCTCCGCTCCTCAGTTTAGATTAAAAAAATGAGACCAACCCACATAATATCTTGTAGAACTATTGTTAATTTAGAATCCATAAGCCGAAGCCCAAATAGCAATTGGGTTATCATAATACTGTGTGAATTAGGCCTAAGTAAGCCCAAACTGAAACCAAGACCAGAACAAGAACTCAGAAACCAACCACCGACATGAGAAAGTTTATCACCAACTTTCGAATCAAGACATCTCAAAAACAGCTCCAACAAGCTGTCTTTTACCTAATCCATACTGAGAAAACCCACTAGGGTCTCCCACCCACCTACCCTCTACAATCCACGCTTACATTCAGAGACAAACTTTCGTAGGACTACCCGTCTATGACGGATTTTGCACTAGGCGGGACCAACGTAAGATCGGATGAAATAATACATTTAAAATTGTGCTTGTTTGAGAGGTGTCATACGGCTAAATCCTAACATTCGTAGGTTTGCACATGTGACTGAATTCTCATTTTGTATTGTCTCTTGAAGATAAGAAGATGGTGATGCCATCCACACACATTTTTACTTCCCACACACCTCTTGTTAATTTCTGTCTTTTGACATTCTTCGATTCATTCAATCCGATGGCCGGAAATTGAGATGGTGTGTGGATAGCATCAGCCGAAGAAGAAACCAATTTGAAAACCATCAACCTTAGTTCTCACTTCTCACCAGTATGTCAAAACATGAAACATTCTTTTTACAGAAAACAGAAGCACTTCAACAAATTTCAAGCAGCTGTTTACATAGCAGTTGGAACAGATTACATGATGGGAAAGAATTAGAATTTGCAATTCCTCCATTCTTTTGTGCAAATGAAATTCTAAAACCCTATAAAGTCTTTAAAACTAAAAAACGGTGTCAAAGCTTTAGAGTCAATGCTGAGGTAGAGGACGAATGGATCAAAGATTGAGACGGAGGAACGCAGTGTCTTTGTCTACTACTTCTGCCTGTAGACGCTGCAGTGCAAGATTTTAATGAAGAGGACCGAGGATTTGAGGATGCATTATTAGTCGAATGGCTGCTCAGTTTCTTCTTGTCTCCGTTATAAACCCCGTCTGATCTTACTTGCCGAACCTTTGTTTCGTTCAGACCAGCCGGAAGAACACAATTGCAAAAGAAACCTAAAGTTCACCAAAATGATGCAAATAAATTACGAGGGAACAAGAACAATCTCTGAGTATGAGTATGAATACTTTTCTAGTTAACATGTTCCCTAAATTCAGCATTCCGATAGAAATAAGTTGTAAAGTTTGCCTTCTAACATCGAAGACATCCCAAAAAGATTATACAATGGACAGATAATTAACAATATAGAATCATTTGTATCCAAATTGTTATTTTTCAATGAATTTTGAATCCTATGTGCAGTGAACTGAATCTAAAGATGTAAATTTATGATGATGGGGTAACAATTTAAGTTTCGGTTATCCTGTGGCATTGGCATTGATGGTATGCTACTAATAGTGGTTTTGTTTCGCAGTGGTGCTATACTAATAATGGCTGGACAACGAAAAACTGATAAGAGATGTTTGATTTCTTACCAAGTCGAGCAAGGCGGTTGACCCAGCGAGGAATAGGCTTCCCTGTCAATCTGGTGCAAACATCATTGCAGAAGTGGTTGCAGTTCTTGGTGATAAGATGGTATGTGTTTCCGGAGTACTCCTCTGCTCGTTTCTCCATAAAGGCACGGACGTCCTTCGGACCTAAATCCGTTCTTCCGATCAAAATCGATTTTCTAAACACAAAGCCGGGACACTGCTTCGGTTCCACTTCGAAAATCCCAGTCGTTGCATGGTCATGAGCTCCAAAAGCATATTCAACGCCATGTACTACATCACATTACAATAAAGCATTTCATGCCAATTAACAAATACAAACATCTAAATACTAGTCTAACATAAAAATCTCAATCAATGGATTACATCATATCTGCGTGTTTGACGATAAACAACAGAAATTACAATATATATATATATATATATATATATATATATATATATAACCTTACTTCTACTACCCACAGTAACAAAAATCAATTCAAAAATTGGGAAAATTGCTTGCAATTGAGTTCAATGGAGAGTAAAGGTTCTGAATTTATCACACCCCAAAACATGAAAACTGAATTCTAATTACCCAAATCAAATCACTCAGCAACTCTTTGATTCTTCCTAAAACATAAAACCCAATTTCAACTGAATCGAAATTCCACAACCCACATCCAAAAATTTAGACTTTCATAACAATTTCTTCATTATTCATTCAACCAAAACACGCAGCCAGATCTAAACTTTCTGGGCAACCAAACAGAAGATAACCCAATAACACAAATAAAAAACAAAAACCCAATAAAATCTATTACCTTGGACGCCGGAATGGTAGACTCCGAGACCAAGCCAATACGCGTACCCATTGATCGGCGTAAGATCGTACACGTTCAGATACACCGGCACCTTCCCAATCTTCTTCTTTCTCGGCACCAATATCATATTACACAACATTTTCTCTCTCTCCAGAAAAAAAAAAAAAAAACAGAATCCAAAAACTCCCGAACAAAAATTGAATTCGAATACAGAGAGCTCCAGCTGCCCCAAAAGCCAGCGAGAAGTGCCAAAGCCGAGGACGCCTCGGAAATTCTGGAGGCTTCGGGAGGGCGAAACGGGAAGAGAAGATTCGGAGAATTTTGTTTTCCAGATATTTTTTTAATTTAATTTAATCCTTTTTCTTGGAGGACGAATCTTAGGCAGCTCCGGCGGCCGAGAGTGTCTACGTCGTCAGCTCGGTTTTATAGTAAAAAGCGGAAGCTTTTTGTATAGGCGGTAAACTTGCTCGTCACAAAAAACAGCCCTAGAAGTCGAGTTATTTACGGAAAACTGCCAATCAAAAACCGAAACGTACCAAAAAGTAGCCGCCACGAAGACACCGCCAAGGAAGAGGAGAAAAGGAAACTTCTGTTAAAAAATGGGATTAGGCTTCTAGTGCTTTTTTTGCGACGGAAATCTCCAGCCGCTGCGATCCTGTCATGTTTTTTTGGATTTTTTAAGGTAGAAAATGGTGGAGTTGGGAAAGGGAAAGGGGAAGGGGGAAAGAAAAAGGTGCTGCCTTTAACTTTCTTCCAACCGAACGTATAAGTTAAGTCTTGGTTTGCCTTGGTGGGTGTGCTTTATGCAATATTCTTTGGGTTAATTTGTTGGGAATGGGACTAGGGGATTAAATATTGGAAGTATTTTCACTCACCATTATTTTAATGTGGTATATGCTCACCATCTTATTTATCATTGTTATATGAGTTTGAATTTCGAGATTCATGTAGTGAATAAACACAAATCTCAAAATTCAAACTTATCTAACAATGATAAACAAGATGGTGATCATACACGACACTAAATGGTAGTGAGCAAAAATGCACTCTTAAATATTTGACCTTGTTTATTGGCACTAAAGTGGGAAGGAAATGGGGAATGGGTGATGTTAGGTACCATGGTACGTGGGATGGATCAGAACGCAGTGGGACGGGACACACTCGTTTCATGTTTGGTGCGCTAATTTGCCTGGGACGAGCTATCCTGTGGAATAGATTTTAGTCAATTTTTGATGCCCCTTCCCATGGAATGACTTGTTCCAGCCCATGAAACACAAAATTATAACTTTTTGGACAACAATACCCCTCATTTTTTTTCATTAATTTTCACTTCGAAAATTAATCAAAATTCTAGAGATCTCTCCATTTATGCACAATTAACATAAAATATTCATTAAAAATCAAAATTTACCTCAACAGATAAACTCAAAAATTGAGTTCTCTTGTTTTTCCGGGATATCAAGCTTCTTTGATCACACTTCAAATTTTCTGGGAAACTGAGTGACAAAAACCCAACAAAAAGCAATTTTCTTTGTGTTTGATTTCTATATTCAAGGAAGAAAAACAACAAAACGAAGAAAACCCATATCAGATAAAGGGTTCCTGAGAAAGCCAAAGAGAGGAAATTTAATGGGGAAACAAACACGAAGAACAGAAGGGTACTGGGGAAAGCTGGTGAAAGGACGAGAGTTATGAGAAGAGTGGAGGAAGAAGAGGAAGAGGTAGAAACCGGTGATGGGTAATCTGTAAAGGGTACGATTGTCATTTAATCTTTCGTTCCATTCCGACCTGTGCGTACACAAACATAGTATGGAATCTCCATTCCGTTCCGTCCCGTCTGCGTACCAAACAGTACCTTAGGGAGGAGAGCAATTTACATTCTGGAACGTGTTCACCGATGCGTTGTGTTTTGATTTAGCAATATAATTTTATGTTAAAAACCTTAACATGTGTTATAATTTTATTGGAACGAAATGCCACAGTGGTGAATCCATTTTATTAAAAAGATGATTAGATGTGGTTCAAAATGTGATATCTGTCGTTTTTCAACATGAAATTAAGGACAAATAGGAAAGAATAATCTTGTGCTCACAAATTTCTTTGATGCCAAGATGCAATCGGTTTGATAGCAGTGTTATTTCAGGTGGTGGCGATATACTTCTAAGTTTTTGCCAAAAAGTATTTATAAGGGTTTTTAATTGTCATAAAACGCCTTGAATCATCAAGAAACAATCCCAATAGGTCCAAAGTTTTCCTATTAAAGTTTACTATTTACTTTTTTGATATGGACAAATGGGAGATTTGTGATTTTTTTTTAGTTTATAGTCTATGGTAGATAAAATTTACAAACTAAATGTTGTGTCATCAATAAATAATAAACATGTTTACCTATAATTAAGTAATATTTCAAGGGTAATGGTAGAGAGACTAAATTTGTAGATAAATTTTACAAATTAAATAATGTGTCACCAATAAAAATGGGCATGTTTATTAACGTTTAAGTAATAATAAAATTGTCAACTTCCATATCATTTACTTTTTCAAATTTTGTCTACAAATTTAGTTTGCCTAGCATTATTCATACTTTAATCATCAACTTCCATATCATTTAGTTTGCAAATTCAAATTACAAATTTAGTCTCCTTAGCATTACTGCTTTGATAAATAATGGATAATGCTATTCACACATTATTTCTTACCATCCAAACAATCTTGTCATTTTTACCTATTAATCTTCTTCCGTTCATTCAATCTAATAATAAAAAATTAAAACATATGTAAGAAGTAAAATAGATTTACGGATAATACCATCCTAAATAGTATCACAGCAGTGTTTGCTTTATATATAGAGATACGTCGGTGAAGAAGAGGGGAATAATGTTTGAGGTAATTTGGGTACCAATGCCACGAGCAACTGTCACGTACAATGGAGACAGTCTCGATTTCACCCTTCTTTCTAAATCTACTCTAAATCTAATTTTTAAACAATTAAGAAGCTCAAATGATAATATTTTAATAGCTTCTTAAATCTTGGTGTTATACAAAATTCGGATATTAATGTATCAATTTGCAGGAACCAAAGCTACCAATTCAAGGCTGCATGTATATTTTATTTTATTTTTTAATTAATTGTATTTAGATTTATTTGCAAATCCCTTATTAGGATATGAACAACTTAGAGAACGACATAACATTACAGTAGCATCATCTTTAATAAAATATTATTTTATTTTATATTGTACAGCTGCTTGTAATTTTCTAGTAATTAATTGTACTACATTATCATGCTGACGTGTAATATAATTCCCGCATTCCAAAATAAATTATGATTAATGCATCAAATTACTATTACGCACCCACATTCTTAATACTAGTCTTTTTGCACGCGCGTGCGAAAGAAATTTTTTTAATCACGACGTGCTACGCATGACTTATACATTTTAGATGTACTTATATGCGAGAATTGGTTCAATGTATAAAAACATAAATTAAAGGCGATTATTAATTTGTAAGCGTTACGGCTCTCAAGTTTTAAATTAGTGAATTAGTTGATTATGAACTAAAACCATAAAATGAAATGAGGCAACACACACACATTTGAAACATGGCCTACAATTCAGACAACGTTAGGAAGATAAACCGTGTTATATAAATCATCAGCAATGACAAATAAAAAATGTCAAACAAAGAGTTAAAACAATCAAATAGACACTCATTAGGCAAGAAAGAAGTTGGAACAAAGTGGAATGCTGAGCCAAAAGTATATATATATTTAAGAAGAATGTGTAATCCACAATTAAATGGAACAAAGAAGCGATGACAGAAATCACTTACCATGGTCATAGTTATTTGTTCGGTACTCAAATTGTCTTCAAGGTCCTTTCAAATGTGATCAATTCAGTCATTAACTCTTTGATAGATTAATTTCTACTAAACTCTCTCTCGTGCCTTTTTCACACTATACAACCCCCGTCTCATGGTCAACCTCTCCATCCTCTCATAGTCGCACGAAACAACCCAACTTGCTCTGCCTCAGCTAGCCTTCCCTAGCACAAACCCTGCGAGCACAAAATAACTAATACCAATTTAATTGAAGCAATTAAGAAGACCAATGAAACATCATCATAAAGTATTCAATGAAAGGTGAAAAAGGTACCAATTTAAATAGGTGGAAAATATATCAGAAAGTTCAAGTGTGAGAAGGAGAAAAGAAAGAGAATATTATACCTCTGAAAATGGTGACAAAAGACCTATGCATGACCCTGCCTGGTCTTCACCATCCTATTAGATTTTGTTGTGATTCACTTGTATCCATGGCGTGGAATGAAAAACCACGCACTAATTTTTCAATTATGGAAGATGAGGATGGCTGGTAGTTTTACAGTTACCTGCAGAACATGGAATACGGTGGTTTCTTTTCCTCTACAGTGGGTTCTTCACGTTCGATTTTTATTCTGTTTTATAAACTGTCCTTGATAAAAAATAAAATAAAAAAAAAAAAAACAAAAAAAAAATTGAAGTAAGTGGAGCGATTGTGACACGCCCCGATCCTGATGTCCGAGGGACATCGAGATGGCCACGTGCTAGCCAACACCTGAGGGTGACGAAAGTCATTTAATGAATGCATATGCCGAGGACATGTGTGGAATGGCCGAGAGCGGACCTTTTTGGATATATAATCCAAGTCGAGAGTGGAGTTACGGGAACAGCCGTTTGATGGAAAACTACTTTCACGTTTGGTTCAGAGAGCACTTTTTTCGTTGAGAATTCATCGTTCCTTTTGGTGTAAATTCCCCTGCAACGAATTAAAAACTTGCGGGGCCCTATCTATTTCCCTCTCTCGAGCCCCGAAGAAAACCCCCTCCCCTTCAGACACCACATCTCTTTTGACTCTATATATGTGGGCACCTGATATGTATGAGGGTTCACTCACCCCCGTTACAGCATTCTTTTCTTAATGAGGTGCGGAGCTTTACATCAGACATTCGTTGGGCTTCCCTCTTCGGGAGCCTGCGTCCCGGCGTTTTTGTGCAATAAACCCCTCCGGGCGAAGACTAGTGGTAGGTGGTCCCGCCGATACAGTTACCATGCTTACCAGCTCTTACCATTGCTGCCTATAGATATAGATGGGAGGTAGGCGAAGGTAGTTTGCTTTTCTTCTCCTAGGCTACTGCAGATGTTATTCGAGAAGAAAAGGATGCGATCCTTAATAATCCACTGTTGGCGGAAGCCAATGTCCCGGGGTCCCGGGGACCTATCGTAGTGTCCGGGAACCTAGCTTGCTTGGCTTACTAACGTGAAGGAATTTTAACATCTGAGCATCAGACCATATTTGTGAAACTTACTTAAAAGGTCTTTTTGGTCAGGGCGTAGACAAACCGCAGGTGGATCTAAAAGCTAAAACTATAAATTCTCCCCAAGTAGGATTTGAACCTACGACCAGTCAGTTAACAGCCGACCACTCTACCACACTAAAATGAGCCTCAAAGCCCTACCTTTCACTAGCAGAAGCAAAAGAGAGAACTCCAACCTCTCAAGCTGCACCACTTCCTCTTTATTTGGAAATCCTTCTCAATGTCAAGGGATGGATATGCGATTACCTTACTTGACCATAATACATGCATATAAATTGCAGCAAAATAATAAGAGGTGACTATTCATTTCTACGTGAAGATAGTGATAGTGCATGACATGTTCATAGCACACATCTAATTCGGAATACAATGGAAGGTGTTATTACAATGATGTCAAAGCAAAGATGATGGCACGATATCACTGGTAGGGGAAAGCCTCGTAGCGCGGGTCATAAGCCTCGTTTCTATGTCCTGAAGGGGCGTAAGACAAACATGAGTAGACTAAGTTGATATATATATATATATATATATGTATAATATTGAAATAGTTATCAACATACTAACCCCCCAAAGTTTTATGAAAACTAATAGCATAATATGTGATAGGATTTCCGAAACCCTAGCATGCCATAAAAACTTTCATAAAACATATATCGTATATAATATGCTAACTAGTGGTATTAGTATCGTTTGAAGGCATATAGAACTCTTCCTTAGAACACTTCCTTCACAAGTATCAATCACCCATAGGCTTATACAACACCCAACCCGTAGGCCAATATAAGTATCATCGCCCGTAGGCAGAACAATCACCACAACATTGAATATACTCTTTCCAAACATAAGTACATATATCTCAAAATCATCTTCATAGCATATAGTCATCCATCATATATACTATAAAGAAGTGTAAAGAAAACATGTTCATAAATAGTATATAGTCATCCATCATATATACTACAAAGAACATAAGTTTGATAAAATATGGTATTCCAAAATATTCGCAGTAAAGCATGATATATTATAAGTGTATATTTAATATACTCATAAAACGTAACCATTAAATCATGCTTTTCTTGCATTCATTTCTACTATTAAAACATGCATTTTAGAATGAGTCTACTCACAGATACTTCGTCGTCGAAGAGCCGCACGAAATAGGAATGACAGAATCGCTGCTAATAAATGCACCTAAGCACATAAAGGGTACAATTAACAAAATTATACTCCAACGACTGAATTTCAGAAAACGGACATTATAAATGGATTCAGGACATCAAAAAACATAAAGAGGGACCTCGGGTACCCCCACGCACCGCCCTACGCCCCTTCACACGCCGTCGTGGGTCGCCAGAAAATTCGCCGGTGCCGCCATGGATAGTGGCGCATGTACTTCACGCGCTGACGCCGACAACATTCGACTAGGCTACTGGGTTGGACCAGGTTTGGGCCTAGGTTCTTGAGCTTGGGTTTGGTGGGCCTGGGCTTCGCCACTGGGCTGGGTTTTAAGGCCCAAAAGGATTGTGTCTAATAGGTTTTGGGTCAAAGGGCCTAGGTTGAAAGCTCGACCCAAAGCAAAAGGGTCATAGGGTTAACGGGCCAAAGGCCCGAGTTCGAAATGGCCCAGAGGCCTTAGTGACATAGGGATTAGATTTGGATTTCCAAAGAATTGGGCTTTTGTTTAGGCCCAAAGGCCTTAGTTCTATGGTTTTAGGCTTGAAGGCCCTTTCTTCGTCGAGGAAAAAGGCTGGAGCCTTCCGAGCTCCGGTCACCACCAACACTCACCCTAGGCTACAATCTATGCACCTAAATGAAGTTAGAGACGAGAGGGAGATATTTGGTAACTTCAATTAGTCGTGGGGTGACCGGAGGGAGCCGGGAAATGCCTTGAAGTCTACAGGGTTCGCCGGGAAAACTCTCGGGGTTTCTAGGCTTCGCCATGCTTCACAGATACGACAGAGAGGGAGAGGGGTGGTCCTCTCGAGTTGGTGGTGGTGTCATCAAGTTTTGGGTGTAAGGATGGGTGTGTGTGTGGGTAGATCGGGAAGAGAGATCTGTGAGAGAGAGAGAAAAAAAGAGAGAGAGAGAGAAGTGAGTTGAGAGAGAGTGTGAGAATTGACTCAAGATGAGGGAAATGAGAAAAAGATAAGGTGAGTTAATGCGCTGCCACATGGCAGCCTTAGTGACATATGGGTTGGGTATGGGTTTCCAAAGAATTGGGCTTTTGTTTAGGCCTAAGGGCCTTAGTTATATGGTTTTGGGCTTGAAGGCCATTTCTTCGTCGGGGAAGAAAGCCGAAGCCTTCCGAGCTCCGATCACAGCCAACACTCACCCTTAGGCTATGATCTATGCACCAAAATGAAGCTAGAGATGAAAGGGAGGGATTTGGTACCTTCGATTAGTCGTGGGGTGGTCGGAGAGGGCAGGAAAATGCCTTGAAGGCGACGGGGTTTGTCGAGAAAACTTGCGGGCTTTCTGGGCTTCGCCGTGCTTCACAAAGACAAAGGAAAAAGAGAGGGGTGGTCTTCTCGAGTTGGTAATGGTTTCGTGAAGTTTTGGGTGTGAGGATGGGTGTGTGTGTGGGAAGATCGGGAAGGAAGAGTGCGAGAGAGAGAGAGAGCTATGAGAGAAAGAAGAGTGAATTGAGAGAGAGTGTAAGAGTTGACTCGGGGGAGGGGGGAATGAGAGAGAGATAGGGTGAGTTAATGGGCTGCCACCTGGTAGCTAAAGAGAGGGAGAGAATCTAGAAAGAAGATTCTGATTAGGTAGAGGATAGGGGGACCAATTTGTAACTTCAATAAATCTTTGTGGGTTTTTATCTTCTCTTTTATTTTTCTTTTACTTTTCTAAATTTTAATTCTCTTTTTGTTTAACATATTTTTTTCTTTTTGACAAAAGTACCCCTGCTATTTTGTCAGTTGTGGATTTTTTTGTTTGAGGGGCTTTATAGTCCATTTTGTTGGTGAAGCTTTGAGACATCAAACTCTTCTTCTAGCTTTCTAATATTAAAGATGATGATATCATTTTAGTATTAGAATCACTAATTCCATATCATTTATATAATGAAATATCACAAAATTATAATTTTAATATAAGTATCTTGTCACACATTAGTTACATACTAATTCCCTTTTTCAATATAGCTTTGGTCGCTCTAAATCCTAAGACCAAATTAAGCCTTTGCGCGACTGAACTTTTTATAGTTTATTGGACAATATTTGAGTGGTTTCGTTAGTAATTTTTGGTAGTGATACTTTAGGTCCCCAAATCAAACAGTATGACCGAAACAAAGCTAATGAACTCAAAGAATACATCCCTAGAAGTTCAAAATCAAGTTAAGATTCTAGACTTTCGTTCACTTTCCATTAAACCAACTCTTTAAAGTTACACAACTAAGATTTTAGATCAACCATAATAAGAATCAAACTCAAGAAAAAAGTTGAACCATTTCTCAATTTATACGTGTTATCCTTGTGCAAGAACAATGCTAATCCTTTCATCTCATACAATTGATATTGAAGAAAGGAAAAATCAAGTTCGAAAACCTGTGCATGAGTGAAACAAAAAGGTTTGTCATTGAGGTTTGTATTTTGCGATGCGGTCTAACAAACAACTATATGCATACGTTAGCATGCATGCTTTATCTTAACTGCATGAACGAACCCATGTGTCCAGATAAGCTGTTGATGTGCTATGCGACAACTAGATCTTTATCTAATAATCTTTGATTGGAAATTTGAAACCCTACCAATAACAACAATCATCTAGTAACCCATTTTTCATGATGCATGTTGGAGCGTGGGGGTACAGTTTCAGCATTTTCATGTCTTATCATTCAAGGGATGGCCTTAAATTATGGACATGGATCTTCTCTCTAGATCTATGCGTCCTAATCCTAAAAATCCACCAAGCCGGATCATTGAAATTTGATCGAACGGCTACAAATAGGGGTTCACTTTAAAAGTTATAATAACTTTAGCCGTTTGATCAAATTTCAATGGTTCGAATTAGTGGATTCCTAAGATTAGGATGCATAGATCCGAAGATGATTCATGTCCTTAAATTATTACACCAACCCATGGGTCATGTCAAGTTTTTAGGACTCCCTTACGGCAAAACGACTTATGTGAAAAGAAACGTACACATATTATTCTTATATCATTAGCATGACATGTTACAATAATGGTGTATCAATAAAATAGGCGTATAAGGGAGAAAGATTTATGTGAAAAGAAATGTACACATATTTTCATATCATTAGCATGATATGTTACAATAATAGTGTATCAATAAAAGAGGCGTTTTGGGGTCTAAAATTTATAAGTCAAAATTCTATATAATGTTTCGCGCTTTTATTCTTGTTTGGTTTTTAAAACTGAAATGCTTTTGACTAAGTAGCGAAAGTTATGTTTGTAGCTCATTTTACTTATAATTTAATGATATTTGTAAATTTACAATCAGTCAGTCCTAAAGTTTGTTTTAATTTAAGTTATTGTTTTCTAACATCAATACATTGTCCTACTTTTTTTGGAAAATTATCGTAAAGAGGGGTTCTTCTATAAATTTCGCACAGGGAAATCTCAATGATGGCCCTCATCAATATAGTGTAATTAAGTTGCTATTCACTCATGGGATTCCAGGCCAAAATATCATTATGAGTTGATATTTTTCCGTAAGCAAGCAAGCAAGAGATGTATCCCTTTGCATTTACAAATTTATCGTGATGAGCATTGTAGATACAAGTGCATATATATCCTCGTTGTACGTAGAGTTGATAAATCAATCATTGAGTTGTTAATGGATATCTGTTAAGACTTGTTTAATTTGATATCACCGTCATATAAGGGTGAGGTTGGTAATGATGATGCTGGTGAAAGATGAAATCAAACTAAATGAATCTTAATTAGTATAAATTAACAGCCTAATAAATTGATTTGCTACCTCTACTTGTACTGCAGAAGCAATGTGTAGTATACTTAGTATAACTAGACCACCTCTTTTTTTTTTTTTTTTTTTTTTTTTTTTTTTTTTTCAGGAATGGTGGAGCTATCCAGTTTTGTTGCCATTGCTTTCACTCTTTTTCAAGCTTTTAATTCGGGGGCATGTTGGGTGGTTTACAAACCAAGTTGTGGCATGAATTTGAGCATAAGATGGGATCTACAAATGACACCTACAAGAGGGACAAGTAATTAAGAAAGTACAAACCTCTAATTAATATCTTGCATTTCAACTTTGAAGCAGATCAGACGAACCAACGAGTTATTAGTCTGATGATATTTATCTTTCTTAACTTTGAAATAGGTCACAAATTCGACTTTCCGTCACCATGGTTTATTTTAAATAATAATAATAATAACATTGTATATGTGAGTTAAGGTAATTAATCAGACCAGCATTACCATCTTCTTTTCTATTCAAGTTTGAATCTTCACTCCGGTAGCCTGAGAATCCGGATCTTATTTTTGAATTAGTTAATTTTTGAAGGCCCAAAATGCAATTTTTGCTGTTTGTATCCACCAATCCAGGCCGGGGTTGAAACTTCTTCTTCCTAATTTGAATGGGCCTAATTTAAAGCCCATTAAACGTTTATACACATTTGAACGTTCAAGGCCCAATTCACAAATCCATCTTCTTCTTCTTCCTCCCAATTATGTTCCACTGTTAAACTTAAAACCCCCAAAATCCTTAAACCCTAAATTCAAAAATCCAATTCCCAACCCCCAATGGCTCGACTGATTCGAACTGCTCGAGGCGTGCTTCCAATTTTTTCTTCTTATCCATATTCAAAGGCGTTCAGCGCCACCCAAATCTTCCGCCGCGTGAGGCAATCTCAGCCCTTCTCTTGCACAGCAGACTCTATGCTTCTGAAGCACTTCCCCAGTCGCCCATGGAAGCTAACATTCTTAGAATTCTCAGGAACGAGGTGGAGTACCAGTCCAAGTATGCTCTTCCTCAGCAGGTTGGTCATCCTCCTTTCTTATTCTTAGCTTCTGTTTGGTTTCCGAGGAAATTGCAGGAGTAGAAACTCAGAAAGAAACAATCTTTATCAACTTGATTGTTCGGGGTTTTTTTTTTTCTTTTCCTGATTTCTCAATTTGTATCGAACTATAGTGATTATTTGATATTTAGAGTTTGAGACCGTTTCTGTAACAATGAAAAGCGCTTCTATGATCTAGAAGCACTTTCTGGGGAAGTACCTGACATATGTTTCTTCAGAATGTACTGCGGAGTGCTTTTTCAGGATGCACTTCCGAATGCTTCCAGTTCTTCACCTGGATTTAACAAAAGATTCAACGTCATTCTAAAAAAAGCACTTATAGCAAAAACCGCTTCTTAGCAAAAATGCTTTGTCTATAAGTACTCTCAAATGAGCCCTTTTAAGTGTTGATTCTGAATTTCTCATCCACATTCATATTTGTGATGGCATTTTTAACAATAACTATAATCATTACAGCCTGCTACGAAATTCGAATCGTTTACAGTGCAGGATCGACCGGGAGAGCAGTGGATTACAATGAGAAGGAAATTAGGAGAGACTGAAGATATTAAAATTGAAGTCACTATGTTTGATGGGTATGAAACTGTTCGTAAAACTGGAGATGATAGCTCCGGGGAAGACGTGCGTCTTCACCTTAGTATGCTTGTTGATATTATAAAGGGGGGTGGTGGTTCCAAGGATTTGGAGTTTCTGTGCTCGGCCTGGCCGGATCGTTGGAGGTTCAGAAAGTTTATGTTCTTGAGCTTGATCGAATGCCAGCTAAGCCTTATATGGGACCTGATTTCAGGTACAATTTCAGGCCTCCCACATTGTATTTTCTGTTTTTTGGATTGTAAAGCCGTTGTTTCATATTTGTAATCATGTATATGAAGCACCAAATTGTTTCACTTTTGCATTGTAACGCTCTTGTTTCATTTTTGCAATCATGTATATGAAGCACCAAATTGTTTCACTTTTGGATTGTAACACCGTTGTTTCATTTCTGCGATCATTTTTCGATCATGTATCTGAAGCACCCTATTTACAATTCATTTCTTCTATCTCATCAGTCCTTATTTACGATATCAGCCTATCGATTTACCCTTAGCCTATTATTTTTGGTTTGAGGTCTTGGTTTTGGTGGCGAGGTGACCTTGTTTTCTTGCTTTTAGGGGCAGGAGTTTGAATGGAAGGCTTCAACAGAGGCTGAGAGAGTATTTAGAAGCCAGGGGAGTGACTGATGTACTACATGATGAGCTTTCTGTTTTCTTGCATCAGTACATGATGAACAAAGATAGAATAGAACTGATCAAATGGCTGGGTAAAGTTCAGTCGTTCGTGGAAAAATAGAGCGGTAAATATCTGAGAACTCAAATTAGATTTTCGGTCATTCTTTTCTTCTTGCTTAAAGAAATCTACCATTGATAAGATAGCAGGTTCTGCCCAAGGCACCCATTAAAGTTTAAAATGTGTGCAGCTCCTGAATGCTGTAGTATTTACTTAAGTCCGCAAGGGAAATTGACATTTGAGATGCATCTGTGATTGGTAGGCAGATTTGGAGTATTCACGTGTTGTTTTCTGGATTTCTCATTAGCCAAAGCTGCAGATGAAGTTTGACACAGCCGGAGGCTCTCGGCTATGCATCCTTCGTTGGTCTTCGAAGTGTGATGAACTAATCGAGTAAGGATTAGTGTTTCGAAATGTCACTATTTTGTGGAGTTTGGCGAAGAAACCAAACCCACACTTAAATTTTACTTAGTTTAATTTCGATGGCAAATGATAATGTTAGTGAAAAACACTTAAATAATCAAATTATACCCATTGTGTAATAACAGTGCAATAATAGTTGAGTCTACAGTTTTCCTCTTAGGTTTTGACTATGAAATGGAGTTTGGATGAGCTTATTCGTGAATAACCCATTTTAAAATCTTTTTTTTTTTTTTTTTTTTGGTAAATTCAAGTTCGATTTCTTCTCTTTATAATTTATTAAGATTAATTTAAAAAATCACTGGAGTGAAAATATTAATTAATTTCTACATGAATAATCAAATCCATTAAGAAATGTGCATGCACATGTAAAAGATTTGTGAATATGACATGTTATGGGGCAATTCTACGAAAAAGTTCTTTAATTGGAGAAATTTTTTAGTAGACCCGAAATACGGTTTGATACAACAAGTGGTCATAATATAAGTGGTTAAAGATTTTTTTCTTTTAAGTATCCAATCAATTATACAATAGGCACTTGGTGTATGACGCGTGTTTCTGATACGCTGAAAATCTGTCCGCGCGGTAGGCTTAGTCACTTACGCCAACCTCAATTTTAATAAAAAAATTTGTTTGTGATAGGAACTTAGCAAGTAATGTAAAATGTGGCACGTAAATAAATAATATAAGTTTGTAACTAAATCTTTTCTAGATTTTTCAGATCAATTAAGGACAATGTTGGTGATAGGAACTTAGCAAGTAATGTAAAATGTGGCACGTAAATTAATAATATAAGTTTGTAACTAAATCTTTTCTAGATTTTTCAGATCAATTAAGGACAATGACTCAATACACGCTCTTCAAAAGAGGACAAAGATACTCCCATTAGCTCAATAAATATAATTATCCGAAAAAAAAGTGAATAAATATAAAATTAAAAGAAAAGGCAAAATCATTTTATATTTTCTTAGAAGGACAAAAAAAACATCATCAATCTAATGTTCATAAGTATGACTTGGTTTCTTTGGGTTTCTTGTAATGGCAAGTTGACAACTTTAAATGTAATCCATGATCCATCTAATCTTAATCTCTTTTTTGTGAGTGGATCTTTGTCTAAGGGTTTATTTAAGAACCACTTCAGATTTTAGTTTTCAGTTTTTAAGTTCTAGTTTTCGATTTTAACCTACTCCCTCAATCATAATATCATTTGTTAAAAATAAAAAAAATAAAAAAATCAAAATGGTTATCAAAAGACTTTTAAGTTGCTCATAATTCAATTGTGTGAAAAGTTATTAACAAATTACAGGTTTATGATTTTTTCAAAAACTATTTCAAATTTTAAGCCATATTCAACATTTACGGGAACAACGCACATACAACAAGATGTGCACTCACTTTTTCGCCTGATTGATCATGCCATGTGAAAAGAAAAGTAGAGAGAAAGCGTATACAGCATGTTACAAGATTATCCAATCAATATGTCCCAGTGTATACAGCATGTTACTCTTAATTAAATTGTTTGTTTTGTTTGGATCGACGTAGACACACTAATCATAAATTATTTGGAACAAATTTCACAACCCTCACATGTTTTTCTACTTGCAAACATAACTTTATGTTTAACATTGTTGGACTAAACCAGAGGAGGTCAGTTTGTGATTGTTGATTATCAAATTTCACCATTTGATTTGAAGTGCAGATTCTTAAATTAGCAAAACTTGTGAATATATGTTACCCCATGGCTTCACTTACAATTTTATATTTTTCCAAAATATAAATTCCTTTTGTCGTCCATTTTTATAGATGGAATTCTCGATTGGCAAAACTTTTTGGAGGTTCATAATTATTTTTTAGGACATCAAATGGCTGCCGACCTCTTTTGATTCTATTCAGTGGCAACATACTTATAGAGAAGCCAACTTCCTCGCATGCTATATTACATCCATTAGTCACAATGTTGACAACATTTTGTATTTGGGATAGGGTGCTTTTTAATGAGGCATGCCAAGCGTTTATATTTGATTGTATGAGTTCCACGTGTTCTCAGAAATTTTCTTTATCTTAATAAAAAAAAATTCCTAGCCAAAAAAAGAAAGTAAGAGTCGTGCATAAGGAGAAAAAATTAATTTGAAATTCACTACCCAAAAGAAAAACAAAAGTTCTTGTTGTTGAACTAAAATGTGGAGTACAAAAGTTGGAAAAATGAAAAATTCTAATGGATTTGGGACAAGTTAAAAGCAAACCAAAAGAGATCAAATGCTCATGCTATTCTCAAAAATCAAATTTACACAAACCATATTCGAAATGTGAAACGAGAATTTTAAACCACATCTCAATACCGACATAAAAAAAATTCCAAAAAAAAAGAAAGAAAAAAGACAAGAGGATCATATATGATACAATGAAATGAAGAAGAATTTTGCCGTCTCGATACTACTAACTTGTTAGAGCTTGAGTGACAAGTCAAGCTTCTTCATTTCCTCCTGATCACTACCACTCTTGAAACGACTGTCGTTTCCCAACCAACATTTTCCAATTTCTTCACTGCTTTGTGAAACCATGTTGCTCTTTGCCATGTCAAATCTCCCAGCACCACCAACACCTTTAGCTGCTGCAGCCGCAAGCTTTCCGACCGCCGGTTGCTGATCAAAAAGTGACCTTGACCCAAAAGTCCGATGTCCATACGAACCACCAAACCTGATCGCAGACGAAGACATCATGGAACTAGGCTTGTGAATCATGGAGTGAGCCTGAATGTCCAGTGCCCTAAAAGCACCGCCACCATGGAGAGGCAGAGAAGCCAAACTTGAGCAATAAGGGTACCCAAAACCTGCAGCTGAGGCCATTATGTGGGACCCCAACATCCTCTGCCCTCTCTTTGCTAGGGTTCTCTCTCGTTTGTGGGCATTCTGGTGCCCTCCGAGCGCCTGCGAGCTGTAAAATTTTCTTTGGCAGTAGTTGCATGAGAAAACCCTAGGCTCTGCCGCATCTGAAACAAGGGGGGTGGTGGTGGTGGTGGTGCCTTCTGATGAGCCCGTTTCGAGGCATTCGAGTAGATTGAGCTCCGGATTATCGAAGCAGAACCTGCGATTCGAATTGCTATCCGAAGCGTCTAGATCGATTATTCGGATGCTAGGTTTCTTCTCTTTTTCTTGATCTTTCATCTCCTCTTCATCTTCTTCAACTCTTAGTTTCTGTTTGGTTTCCTTTGGGTCTTGAAGTGGAGTGTTTGGACATGGAGGAGCTTCTGCTAATGAGAAGATATTTGTTTCATAATTCTTAGCTGGTTCCATTGCTGAAATATTGAAGGATGTTTTCTGATTTTTTTTTTTTTCAAGTGGGATTATGAAAATTTGAGTTGATAGAACGTTGTAAGCAAAAACTCAAGAGGATAAAAAGTTTGTTTATTGGACTGAGGGAAAGTAAATGTTTTTTGTGGTATATATGGATAATGGAAGAATCCACTGTTGTTAGTAGCTTTTTTTATTTATTTTTAAATATATTAAGATAAAGTTTATTTAACTTTATATTGGTAGGTTTACTTAATGTGATTTGTCACATACTTTGATTGGATCAATGGAAGTTTTACACAGTTCTTCTATCTATCCATAAATCGACAAAAAAATAAAAGGTATTTTAGTTTTGACATGAAAATATCATTTTTCTTTGATTTCTTGTTTTTTTATGAGGATTGTGTTTTACTCATTGCATGCATAAACAAATGCTTTCCTTATTTGCAAGTGTACTATAGATATTCTTAATTACTTGAGTTATAAGTACTTTATGAATTTTTATTTTTTTATTTTTTGAAAAAAAGGACCGAATTGAAGCGATTGATGTTCCCGGCAATGTCACCCTAGCTAGGGCATGAAATACATCTCAGTACATGGCACTGTCACCCTTGCAACATTCTGTGGGGGACCTCACTCTAATAATCATCTCATTTTCATGTGTGTTGTGGACAGAACATTATTGACATCTACTTGTAATTTCAATGACTTATTTTCCCTACGAGGGTACTTTCCTATCATCTTTTTGAAATATGGTCGACGAGAGAAACTTATCTACATTAAGTGTATATTTATTAGAGTAGTCTGGTTAAAACACATCTAACACTGAATAAGATCACACATAGTAAGTAAGACCAAAATACTCATAAACCTAATACTTTTGCGAAAAATGCTCTATGAATATACGAATTATGACATGGTGGTTCATAAACTCTATACAAGTTTTTCTTTGATTTCATATAGATTGAATATATGTTAGGTGAAGTAAATTATTAACAAACTAAAAAGGGCATGCATTTCGAGAATTACTAGTTTATAATTTAACAATTAACTATCATTGCGAATAAGTGCATGTTTATTTTTTGGTTTAATTTTAATTGTTTTGAGATTAGCTGTTGTCAACTGTCTTAACCTTAATTTAAAAAACCCTAAAAAGTTAAAACCCTCATTATCCTTAAACCCTAGAGTCCATGTTACTACAGTAATAGATTATTAGCACGCAATGCATCCACTTAAACATAAATTAATCTCGCAGGTAAAAGCTAATTTGGTTCACCGGCACAAAAGCTAGCTAATATTCTTATTTTCTATTCTTTTCAAAAGAAATAAAAACTAAAAGATGATATGTCAATGGTGGAATGGCGAAATGGCCGACAAATAAAATAGGGGGCAAGCTGATGTGGAGTTCCTCATGCTAATGTGCCATGATAGTGCCGTTTCATGCTGCATTATTAATATTTAATCACGATTAAATCTGCAAAGTTAACCCCTAAAGATAAGTATAATCTTTTGAGCAACTTCTAGGTATACCTGAAACACGATCACTTTTATTGTAACAAATAAAATAATACACTTAGTGGAGGATTTAAGAATTCAAATATTAGGGAGTCTCAATGTTAAAGGTTTAAGTTTTTTAATAGCAACAGAATGCGAAGCACGTAAATAAATTTCAATTTATTCACTGAGGTATTTGGTCAAACAATTGGTATGCTTGTTGTTGTCATTCAAACCATGTTACGCACATGTTAACAGATATCGATATATGCCAAAGCAAAAATGGATGAGTGTTATCGAGAAAATTTGTCAAGTGCTATCGACACAACTACCAAGATATACCTAGCGGGCATTACTTTTTTTTTTTTAGTACATCGATATTTTTATACCAAGGGGAGGGGGAGTTCGGCTAAGTCACACAATGGACAACCTAATTTGATATTGAATTCGCCATCCACAAGATTCGAATCTAAGACCTCTCACAACGGGCATTACTTAAACACTTGTTGGGCACAAAATGAATTTGAACAAACATTCGAAGGGTCCTCATAAGACTTTCCGAACTCCAGATGGTCCTGAGACTACCTTAATTCTAATGTGCCGTCACTGATACACCGTGTGATTTGTGTTCTAAGTAACTATAACAATTTCTCTAATCTTTGGATTTATTTATTTAAATGTTATTTTTTATAGAATTATTGCACGGGCATAAAGTCATTTTAGGAAACTTTCTCTTCTTTCACCCAATCATAACCCCACATAAAAGTTTGGTGAGAATAAAATTGAGTGACTCACACTGACTTGAGTGGAGTTTGGTATTTTACCTTCTAATTGGTTTAATCAACTCATATGATTCCATGTTTAAACATTCATAGTCAAATCAAATATGGGACCAAATCTCCTTTTGAGATCTCCCTGTCTGTCCAGTCTCCAAACTAGTTCGACATACGAACTACTCCAAAAGAAGAAACCCATGAAAGTTCCATAAATCCATCACCTCCTCCACCTCAAATGTTTTTCAAACATTTGAACTCTATTTCAAACATTTCATAGGGGGGCAACTTTATCAGAGAAAAACTTACATATTACGGTGATGTGACTCTTCGTTAATAATATAAGTCACGGGATTAGTGTTGTAGATATGAATGTCAAATCAACTCATTAGATGTAAATTTTCTTTCATTTACAGACGACAGTCATCCGCTTAAAATAGTACTACCCATCAAGGAAACAAGAGAAAAATGCAAAACAACTCAACGGCTCATGAGATTCAAAAGCATGGAATGCAACATGAAAACTTCTCAAAAAGTCACTTCTAGTACTACTATTGATTGAACTTAAAACTTTCAAAAGACAAAATCAAAATTAGGGGTCGCAATGAGTCGTATTGATCAAGTTTACTAATTTTTGTTTGGATCGTGTGTTAGTGTCAACCTACGAGTTGATCCACAAAGAAGAAGTTATCAATTCATAAATAATATGCTAAATGAACATTGTTAGTCCAATTTTAATCATGAAGACCTAGTTCAAGTCACATAAGATGTCACATTCGAAATTGACAATCTTACTTTAAAACAATCAGAACCAATGATTTAAAGGAAAACTAATGAAAATGGCTTGAAAACTTTGAGTTTTAACGATAAGGACAAAATAAAAGGTAAAGTGAATAGTACTAGGATTGACTTTTTAGTGTAAAAATGTGATTTTTTGTTAAAGTGAACAGTACCGCGAACTTTTCGTTAAAACTCCTATGATTTAAAGGGAAGCCTCTCAAGCCCAATTGTGTCCTAAAAGTACCATAGAAATTGTTAGCGGGTTTATCTAGTCATTAGGCAGCCCTAATTTCATCCGAAACTAATCCTGAGGTATAGAACACTAACTCTTTGAGGTTGGCCCAAAAATCCAAACCCAGTTGCCCTACACATGCGGGATATGAGTGCCAAGTAGGAACTACTAATTAGTACAAAGAACAAAAGGATTGCTTCTCTGCTTCTCTGGTTTTGGCTTTCACACACCCAGTAATTGTATTTTATAACGTTTGACAGTTTAAGTGGAAATGGTTAATATTAATCCATTATGGCTTTCACACACCCAGTAATTGTATTTTATAACATTTGACAGTTTAAGTGGAAATGGTTAATATTAATCCATTATATATATATGTGTGTGTGTGTGTGTGTGTGTATGTGAGGTTTACCTACTTTGAAGCTGAAGCATTCAACTTAGTGATTGGACCAAAATCCATTGAACCCTAAAATAAACAACCTAGATTAAAAACATTAAAAAGTAATTATGTGCTTCCAAAGTTTTAGTGGGTTGCTTTCTTCACCAATCACCACTAAATGTATCTCCAATGGTCCAATGGATGTATATAATTATACAATATATAAAACTTGACTTGATCAATTTGGATCCGGATCCCCTCCTGACCTTAAAAAACTGAGCCTGCTAAGCAGGCAATCGTGGTCGTTGAAATTTAATCCAACGGCTACAATTATTATAACTTTTAGAGGACCCTCTGTTTGTAACCGTTGAATCAAATTTTAACAATTATGATTGCTTGTTCATTAGACTCAGTTTTTAAAGGTCAGGAGGAGATCCGAATCCGATTAATTTCATATGTGACTTACGGGGACCTCAGCAATTTTATCGGTGCATGTGAGATCACGAGTGTATGCTTTAAATGATGAAAATTAGATGCCACCCCATAATTAAGAACAAAGAACATGACCCTTTGAAGAATTATCTGAATTGGATTAAAAGTAGGGTGCTTTAGATTTTGGCCCTTACAATTCATTATTTCTAGATAAAAATTCATCTATCTTTAAATATCCAATTTAAGCCCAAATTTAAAATTTGCAAACATATAGGAACACTATTGACCTATTAATACAATTTATTTACACTCATGCCACTCATACTTTATGGTCCCTTTTCCAAATTCCTAAATTTATGCCAAATTAAGTAGTAGAAAAAGTGAAATAAAATGAAAAAAGTGTTTGCATTAACCGTATCTATGTCAAACTAGAAAAGTAGTTTTTTTTCTGGTGATATATTTTGTAGCAATTTTATCCATATTAATTGGTAGGTAAATTAGTTTGTTCCAATTATTTAAAAAAAAAAAATACTACACCTATATTATATATTTTGAATCAAATAACATTCCTCTAACTTGTAGGTAAATTATTTTCTATGTATTGTTATATATGTTAAACACGTTTTGTTGTTGTATAAACATGAGTGGAACATAATATTGTTGATTTTATACATCAAACTGCATTTCTTTTGTTATAGGTAAATTATTTTCCATGTACAAGTACTTATGTTAGGCAAGTTTTGTTGTTGGTACTTACAATATTTTGTATCATCGTAAAGAAAGATGTTACATTACACCCATGGTATAATTGTTGTAGGTGAATTATTGGAAATTAATTTGTAGTTAGGTAATGAACATTTTGCATCATTGGAAATGAACATTTCAAAGAGTAAGTAGGTAAATTAATTTGTTCTAATTATATAAAAAAAATTACACTACACCTAGCTATATTTAATTTTTCCAATTATTAAAAAAATTTATACTACACCCAACCAAATAACATTTCTCTAACTTGTACGTAAATTATTTTTCATATATTGTTAGATATGTTAGGCGCGTTTTATTGTTGTATAAACATGGGTGTAACATAGTATTTTTAATACTATACATCGAACTACATTTCTTTTTAATATAGGTAAATTATTTTCCATGTATTAGTAAATATGTCAGGCACGTTTTGTTGTTGGTATAAACATTATTTTGCATCATTGTAAAAAAGAGATATTATATTACACCCATGGTATAATTGTTCGTAGGTAAATTAATGTGCATGTAGATAATGAAATACAATGTTCTAATATATTAATAAAAAAAGGAAAAATTCAAAAGTATTCAAGAGTAGGGTGAAAAAACTGAATTGAATAGTTTTATGAAAATTCAAAACCTTTCTAAAAAATTAATATGCAATAAATTTTTAACATTAATGTCTTTTTTTTTTCTTGTTGCAAAATCATTTACTATTTCCTTACAATTAATTGTCTACATAAAGTATGTAATAGGGGTATTTTAGGCTTGTGAAAAATGTAAAATGTGTGAATTAATATGAAGTTAATGAATTTGCTTATGTGGATCCTAGTCATTG